GGTCAATCAGGTATGAAAGTTAAATCTATCTTCAGACAGACTACCTCTTAACGACATCACACAATGCAACGGGACAGAGTCGAGGCTCCTAGAGCCATGCTTCTTACAGCTGGCTGACCCTGAAGGGCACCAGTTTTGCTCAACTCATATAAAATAGCACAATAAAATTGACTGAGTGAGCTCCTAGGACACGCACAGTCATGAGGGGCTGTTTAGTCAGGTCTACCGAAGGTTTTATTATCCCAGCCCAGCTGCTTGGTACTAGTCAATCTGCAACGCAACACGTAACAGGAAGCACTGACCTTAACATCGTCTAAGCTCCACAATTCGTTGTATAGGCAAAATTGACCCAAGTATACCAGCGCGATTCTGAATGCAAGTGGAATGCGCGGCGCAACGTAGAATGAGACGATACAGTACCAGCGGTTCTCTCCTCCCCACTCCATTGCTTCGTCAGCTGTACTTTAGAGCCCGGGAGTTGACGGAATAAACAGCAGTTTGCCTGAGGAATGCCTCGAGAACGTAACGACCTATCTTATCATTAGTCCTGTAGCAGGTTTTCGAGTCATTTTTCCTACTTCCTTCTAACTGGCCCGGAACAAGTAATGAGGTGTCTTCTCAACACAGCGAAAGTTCAGTGTATCGTTGAGCTATCTGGAGAAGATGTACAGTACTACTTTGATTCAGGAGAACACTGAGCTCCAACGCAGTTTATACCGCCCAGGTAAAATCTCAGCTAACTGGCCTCCTCCAGAGAGGGAGGTTGGAAAACTGCAGTAAGTCGAGCCCTCTAGCTTACGTAATATTTTGCTATAACTTAAACATTATAGTTTTTCTCGGAAAATCATCTTAGTTGTTCATCTTGTAATGACTTCTCCGTGTGTTCTTTCCTTTTATGCCTTTGTTTTCCTTGAGACAACTAATTGGTTTCCCTTCAGTGTCGAAATTCGTCCTGTGAAGCCTGGAGATGATGCTGGATGGATCCAACAGGTATTTTTGGCCATTCTTGGATAATATTTCGCTCAGGCAAGAAAGAAGAATTTGCAAGCAAAAAGAAAGAGTTTGGACGCGTTGTGAGCTGAGATAAGGGGAAGTCGTTTTTTCCCTATTTTTTGGTGCTTGCTTGAGGGAATTCGTAAAGACACTGACAGTTCCACATCCCGCTAATACGTCCCGCGTCAATTTAGGCCTACAGGAGCTTTTTTTCACTTTCCCGAGCAGAAGTATGCTGTTCCACCTTAATAATTTTTTGCTATGTTTCAGGAGCAGAACGAGGTCATCAGATCTACTGGCTGGCAAAGAAAATCGAAAATCGATCTCGTTTGGCCTCCTCCAGAAGGCGAAACCGCCC